TTGTCATAATTTTTATAAAAAGCTGTTTTGCAGTTACCACTATACTATACTGCAAAATTAGGATTTATTTTATTTTTATTAAACAGAGTACTTTCAATTTGAAGGAAGGGCGACTCCACCTGCTTTCCTTGTCCATTTTATTTTCAAGTTCAGGAATTGAAGCGTAAAAGTTCAAGTGCTTCTCCAGCCTGCAATTTTGTGGAGAGCCGGAGCTTCCTGTACTCTTCAATGGTAAAAGGCGCATAAACGCGCGGATGCTCTGCATCCACCAGCTCCGGCGCTGCTTCCACCGCTGCTTCCTTTGGTCCCAACAGGAACGTTGCAATCGACACCCTGATGGCTGCTTCTTTGCACTGCACTCTGTGCTTCACATTACACAATCTTCCATTGCTCCATACCTACATTAAATGGAATCATAATACCAGATATTAGAACACTCTGTTCATACCCTGAAACTCAAAAACGGATAAATCAAATTAAAAAAAAAAGATCGGAAGTATTTCCCCACCGCAGCGACATCTCCAAGATTGACCAAAAGGGTTCCCGGCAAGGGATCGACAGGTATAAAGGTACCGGATTTCTTCTCCATCACCTCCAGACCACCAACATTTTCATCCTCCTGAAGTATTGTCAGGAAGCCGGAATCGGTGTGGATTTGTACTCCGGTGGAGCCTACCGCTTCCGGGGTGAAGTTGTACTTATTTATCCTGAATTGGCATGCCCATTCTTTGCAGAAATCACTTTTCAATCCCAAGCTTTCAGCTAGCTTTCCCCCTATTTCCATGGCTAACTCAGAAATTGCTTGAGCATACTTCTCTATGATCTCCCTGTTTTAATACAATAAATTCTTCAGTACAAACAGATTTAGATCATCTTTCCATTTCTCGAGCTACCCAAAAAACAAAAAAGATGGTACCTTTGCTGAGGGGAGGCATCCAATTGAGAACAGAAGGTCTGCACAGCATGGGAGGAAGCCATGTCATAGAGGCCTAAAGCTTCATAAAGAGGGTTGACTTGGCTAGGCGCCATGTACCCGCTTCCGGGGATCACGTCCGTATTCCGGCGCTTGATTTCCATGGGAAGGTCCAGCAGAGATCTCACAACCCTCTTCATGTCCCACATGAGGTCCAGAGGGATGCCATGGTTCACCACCCTGAAACATCCCGAGTCTTGGCATGCTTCCCTCAGTTTCTCATACTCTCCAGGAAAATTTGAAAGATCTATCATCGGAATACCCTCCTTCTCCTTCCCCATCTTCCTTCTCCTCTTCCTCCAACCCCACTTCTACCTCGTTTTATGGTGCAATCATGTTCATCTTTACCGACAGATACACTGTTTGCGGTTGACGAGTGAAACGTAAGCATGTAGCATAGACATCCTACATATGACATTTTAAAACTATTTTCTAAAATTGACCAAGAGTTCACGCATTCATCTCACCCGACAAGCCGTGTAAGATGAAGTTGTCGAATATTAGAAAATCCAACACTAGTGTCGAATGAAAACACGGCATGTTCGCTGGGGTTATCCAATATTTTTAAAACCATCCAATGCTTTTGCAGATTTGAACCCAACATATGGTTGCGTGACTTGCGGCTTGACACAATGCCCTCGTTGTTTTTGACAAAAACGTCAAGAACAAGTTATGCATTGAACATGCTGTTAAGCATTTTTTCTCCACTCCCTTTTTTCATTTTGGAGTAAATTGGGTTCTACTCTAATTTGGGTGGGGAAAGTGGTGAAAATAAAAACTTGATAAGGATTAAATAAAACAGTAACAATATGTAAAAATAACTTCTACCTCAAAACATTGTTAGACATGCTTACCAAAACTGTGTAGCCAATTGCCCCGAGAGATTCAACAAATGCCTTTAGGAAATGTACTCTACATTGAGTTCCGATTGTCTGTCTTGTGTTTCGTAGGCTGCTCGTCTTGAACCTCTTCAAGATCTTCATCATCACCCTCGTATCAGCTTGTTCCTTCCAGCATGCAACCTCTTTTGAGGACACATTTTTGCTTGGATCATTCACTATTGATCAAACCCTTGATGCATATCTAAATGGTAAACGAAGTTGGAAAAACATCACCGTTAAAACAAATATTCATCGACATTCTTTAAAGTGTGGTACCTCTTTTATTTCTCTCAGTTCCTCCTATTCTTTAATTCATTTTGCATTGCAGCCAAACCTGCATTTTTAATTGCTAGATTAGATTCTGCATCAGCCAAATCTTTTGTAACGGCTTCCAGCTTCCTTTCAAGTTCAGAAATTGTAGCTTTATGACTTTGCATTCCTGCTCAAAGTTCTTCTCGAGAATTTCCACCTACAGTTTGGAACATGAGATCGGCGGTTTTTAACTATTGACAATCTACGATAGGCTATTTTGCACAAAATCACATGACATATTTGACATGAATACCTCATTAGCTTCGTCTTTTCCAGTCTAGAAATCCTCTCTTCCAACATGAGCATTTCAGTTATTAATCTTTTTGCCTTTTCTTCTGCCGCATGCAACTCTTCAGTAGCTTTAGATAAATCCTGTAGGCGTTTCTCATACACTTCGACACCAGGAGGCTTAAAATTGTTAGAAAGATCTCCATTCACTGAGACATTAGCGGCAGACCAAGCTTTTGAGTATCGATACAACATGACATCATTTATATGTGTTTGAAGAGCAACACAAATTTCTTCTCCCTGCATAAAATTTTTGAAAAGCTAGATCAACAAACAAAAACATAATGTTTAAAAGGAAGTGGAAAGGAAGGTATTAAGAAAAAAAGGAATAAGGTAATTGTTTGAATGTAAATCACTTAATAGTAATATGCTATTAGTAGTCTCTGAAGTATTTGAAACTTCATTAC